CTCCCAAAACCCTCTCCCAAAAAATTGTAGTTTCAAACTGCTTGCTCATTGGTTCGCGCAGCAACCAATCGCGAAGCGTTATTTTGGGCGTACTCCAATCACAGCGCACTGTTTCCCGCGCTCTAGAATGCTGGCCAATCGGAGCACATTTTTCAGAATGCTGTGAAAACCTATAAAAAGAGCAAAGAAAACTGAAAATTTCAGGGTTTTTTTTTGTTTAGGAAAAGTTTTTGAGGTACCAAAGTGAGCACACGCGTTTTTTGGTAGCTTAAAGTTAATAGAAGTTAGTTAAAGTTAGAAGTAAAGTTAAGGTTAAACTGCTGCCTTAAAGAGGCGGCAGAGAGACACCAAATAGCACAATAATTAAATTTAATTAATCGTTAAGAACGTAGAACACCTCATCCCCCTGGAGGGGTACAGGTAAAAGGGAACCCCGAGCCCCAGGGCAGAGGGACCCAAACCTTTTTTCTTTTCATTTAATCCAACCTTTCCCCCCCGCCCCTCCTTCGGGAGGGGCAAGACAAAGCCCAAATGGAGGGCACAAAGGAGCCCCCATACGTTACAAGAAGCGTGGCCATGCGCAACTCCGATAAAGAGGCCTGCCTTGAGGCCATTATCCTCGATTCAATCGCCAGCCAGACGCTGGCGAGGGACACCAAAGAGCTCCTCGCGGAGCCATCTTCCAACGCAAACCCGGACCTCACGGGACATGACAATGGCGGACATGCGTCCCCAAACTCCCAAGATGGCGAGCCGGCCTCTGCCGGCCTCCCCAAGACACCAGGAGGTGAGCCCCTCTCACCCGTTTCGCAGGGCGCCAGCACATCAGGCGGCCCTCCGCGAACGCACGTAAACAACCCCCTCCCCCCTGCCTCGCCTGACGGCCAGCGGACGGAAGGCGTGACACCCTCTCCCACCCCCCCGACGGAGGAAGGGAACCAACCTCAACAAGAGACCCACCCCCCCACCGATAATGACAACGAGAGCGAGGAGGAGAACGATGACGTGCACCACTCCCTGCCCGTGCACAACAGCTTCGCCCTCCTCTCCCCTTCCAATGACAAGGCCGTCGGACAACCGACCAAGGCCGCTCTCGAGCGTGGTAAGGCCACACCACAAGAAAAGGCCTCCCCGACTACACAAGATGGCGTCACTGACCGAGGCACGGAGCTGGCAGAAGAAGGCCCCTGCACTGTCCTGTTTCGTCCTGCTGGACAGGCGAAATTCACCACACAAAACAGGCTGCGCATTGCCAGCTACGTGCAGAAGATCGTGCCCGGGAAGACGACGGCCATTCGCTTTAACCTTGCGAGAAACGTCCTGGCCGTGGACACAGAGGAAGCGGCAACCCGACGGACCCTCCTCGGGACCCAAAAACTGGGAGAGATGGAGGTTCACGCCTTCACGCCCGTTCCCACAGCTCAGGAATGCGGGACTATCCGCGGCCTCAACCCCAGGGATAGCGACGCATTTCTGAGGGACGGGCTGATAGCCGACACCCCCATCGTGCACCTGAGGAGGTTCGGCGAAGGGAGGTGCGCCGAACTCCGCTTTGACGGACCTCGCCCGAGGTTCGTCGAGCTGTTCCAGGTGCGCTTCTACGTCGAGCCCCTGAAGGTGCGCCCCACGCAATGCACGGCGTGTGGGAGACTTGGGCACGTACGATCTGCGTGTACCATGCCCACCGCCTGCCCAACTTGCCCACAAAAGCACCCCCGAGGAGAGTGTCCGCGCGCCGCCAACCCCAAGTGTCCCAACTGCGGATACCTGCACCGAGCCACCGACAAAAGATGCCCCGCCTACCAGCGCGCCAGGCTCGAAGAAACCATCTTCCGCGGCACGGGCTGCACGAGGCCGGAAGCCCGAAAACACGCCGTGGCCTTCGCAGAGGACCAAAAACGTCGGCCCCAAGCACAAGACCGACGGGAGGAAGTCCGGACGCCACGCCCACTCTCTTGTGCCGCGTGGATGCACCCGTCCCTCACGACGTTCCTCCTCACCCGCCACCCGAGCGAAGAGTCACGGCGGGAATTCCCGTTCCTCACGGATTCAAACCCCCTCGCAGCCCCACCCGCCCCCTTTCAGCGAGGCCCCGCGAGAGCAGCGACACAAGGCCCTACCCCACAGCCAACAGGGAGCGCAGCCCACACAGCCCCTGACCAGAGCCCACAGCCAACAGGGAACGCACCGCGGAGCACCACGCCCCCTGCAGCCCCTGTACAGCCCCAACAGCCGACCAGGATTGAGGACCAGGATCGGCAGACAGAACAGAATCAACAAACTCAACCGGAGGAGAGGATCTCCCAACGCAAGGAGCAGTCAACCCGACAAAGCCCTCAAGTCTACAAGGAGACCTTCGGACCGGCGAGAACTTCGAAGCGACAGCGGAAGCGCCAAAGACAGGCTGAGCGCCATCAAAACAAGAGCGCCCCGGCGGCCCAGACAGACGGAGAGGCCGATGTAAACAAACCGAGGCAGCCTCCTCCCCCCGCTCTCCTGCGGAACAAGAGGCGCAGCAGCGCCCGCACCCTCCTCTCCACCCGGAAGACGAGGCGAGCGCTGCACGCCGCCTGCAGCAGCAACTCCCTCCGTCCCTCCCGCAAGCGGAATGGACTGGCCCCTCTCTCCCTCACGAGTCTGTCTGGACCGGCGGTGGCCTCCTCCCCTCCTCTAACGGCGCGCCTCCGCCACCTTTCCCTCTCCCCCCAGCAGCTGCAGGGGAATCCCCTTGGTGCGACGGGCAACGCCCCCCCATTCATCCCCTCGAACAGCTGCTGGTTGTCACTCTGCACCAGATCGATCACCTGCTTCGGGTGATCGGCCCTGCTCTGGTCCAGTACTCGCATCTCCAGTCTACCCTCCCGGCTGACTCCCCCGTGCTCACGCTCAACAGGCATCACACCTTCCCTCCGATGAGCCACTATGCCAGCACAGCCTAAAACAAGAAAGAGGACGAGCGTCCAGTCTCCCAGCTGTCCCTCGATTCTGCAGTGGAACATCAACGGTCTCCGCGGACGGCTCGCTCATGTAAGGGACGAACTCTCACGCAGGCCCTACGACGTGCTCCTGATCCAGGAGCCCAAGCTCGAGGCGTCCAAACTGGACATCTCGGGCTACACGTCGTACACCTGCTGTGGAGCCAAGAAACATCCCTGGGCCGTCCTCTACGTGAAAAACTCGGTGCCCCACTGCGGAATCGACACAAGGGACTACTGCTCAGCGAGGGCGGAGATCGTCGGTGTCCGCATCAGAAGGGGTGAGCACGAATTCTCTGTATTCTCGTGTTACGTCCACCCCGTCGGACATTGGCGTTCCCGCGTACTCGCGACTATAAGAGCGCGGGAGGCTGGACACATCATTCTCGGGGGCGACTTCAACGCGCATAATGAGCTGTGGGGGGACAAACGGACGAGTGCGAGGGGTAGGCAGCTTCAGTGCACCCTAGACCGCACCGACGTGGCTCATTGTGGGACGGGAGCCCCGACGTTTCTAAGGGCGGGAGTAGAGAGTAGCGTCCTAGATTTAACGATCTGCACGGCGAGCCTCCCACTCACAGGAGTACCTCAGACACAACCAGACGGCTGGGGGAGCGATCACACCCCGATTCTCGTGGGCCCCGCCCCCAAACCGGCCGTCAAGTTCTGTAAAGTGGTACACTGGGACCGCTATCGAGCGATCCTGTGGCGCCTCGAAGCTCTCGGTAAACCCCTCACAGCAGAAACGATCGCCCAAGCCCTAAAAGAGGCCACGCAAACGGTGCGCGTTCCGGTGAATCGGCCAAACCCCGACCTTCGCTGGTTGCAGCTACGAGCCAAGCGCCGGCAGGCTCAGAGGAGAGCAAATCGGACCGGCCTGCACGTGGACACACTCGGGTTCCGGCGCTTCGACGCGCTCTTTAAACGGCACGCTCTGCGCCTCAGCAGAGAGCAATGGGACCTCAAGTGTGACTCCTTTGCCGCACCCCGAGGAGCAGCCGAGGCGTGGAGAATGGCGCGGGTCCTGGCCAATCGGCCAGGGCCGAGACATCCCCTCAAAGGATTAGCTATACGCCTCGGCATCTCCTATGCCGACATGCTGGAAAAGCTGGCAGACACGCTGCTCAGTGCCCCCCCTCCTCCGCCAGCGCGAAGAGCCCCCTATGGCTGGAGAGGCTGGTTGCCTGTGAGAGCTACTAAGATGACCGCTGGCCAGGAGGATTTTACTTTGCACGAGTTAGACCGCGCCCTGGCAGGCCTCTCGCGCAAGAAGACGGCCCCCGGAGCGGACGGCGTCACTAACGCAGCGCTCAGAAATCTTGACAAAAGCAGCCGCCCTGCTCTCCTAGAGCTTCTCAATAAGGCGTGGCGGGACGCGGATCTACCGGAGTCCTGGCGATCGGCCGTGGTCGTGCCCATTAGGAAGCCAAACAAGCCAGCTACCGAACTTAGCTCCTACAGGCCCATCGCACTCACTTCGTGCGTTGGGAAGCTTCTCGAGCGACTCGTGCAACGACGGCTCGAGCACCATCTCGAGTCAGTCGGAGCCTTTCACGAGAACACCTGTGGCTTCCGAAAGAACCGATGCACGGCCGATGCCATCGCAGAAATTGCCACGCTGCTCGAAAAGGGTAGAGCGCTGAGCAGGACGACGGGAGTCGTCCTGCTAGACATCTCTAAAGCTTTTGACGCCGTCAAACACTCCGCGATCATAAAAGCACTCAAGCAGCTCGGAGTCTGGGGCCGCCCACTCAACTACGTGAGAGCCTACCTGTCAGGCAGGACTGCTCAAGTTCGTTCCTCGGGCCAGCTGAGCACCGCGCGTCCGATCAATCAGGGTGTCCCCCAGGGCGGTGTGTTGTCCCCCCTCCTGTTCAACGTTGCCCTAGCCGCTCTCCCCCAAATTATCGGATTAGGAAGCGAAGGAATCATACGACCAGGGATCGCTATATACGCGGACGACATCGCGTTATTCGTCACAGGCCGAGGATGGAACAGGGAGGCAGTCAGAACAGTCCTACAACGCGCCGTAACAAACACTGAATTCTACTTAACTCGCCTCGGTCTGACACTCTCACCCGCAAAATCGGTAGTACTAAGCAGTGCGCGACATCAGACATACAAATTCGCAATGAACATTCGAGCAGGCGGAGCAACAATTCCAATTCGAAAACATGCGACTTACCTTGGGGTGACGCTGGACAGGGGGCCCACATGGAGCCCCGCAGTCCGCGATGTAATCCAAAAAATGAAGCGGCACTTAAACGTAATCCGAATGCTCGCGGGAACACGACGCGGAGCATCGCAAGCTATGCTTATCACACTGTACAAGGGGCTCATACTCTCACGTGCCCTCTACGCACTGCCACTACTCAAACTCTCACCCAAACACTGGGCACAACTGGAGATGGCACAGCGCACGGCACTCAGGGTGTGTCTCGGCGTTCCACGCGGAGCAAGCTCACGCCACACACTGAACGAGACCGGAGTGACAACGGTGAGGCTCGCCGCCGACGAGCGAGCAATGAGACACCTGATTCGGTTGGGCAACACGCACAACACAGGGCTGCCAGAGCGAATCTGGGCACGCACCCAATCGCACCTTTCTACACTTGCCAGAGAACTTCACAGACTGGCAGGCAGCCCTGGCCCGAACCCAAGACCGCCGCCGCCGAGCGAGCCACCACCACTCCGCGTCGAACTCGATGCAGGCCTCGGGGGCCCGAAGAACAGGCTGGCACCATCGGTGGCCAGACAACTGGCAGAAGGGCACTTAGAAGAGCAATTCCGGGGCTGGGCGAGGTGCTACACGGACGGGTCGGTTGACCCCGATGCACACACAGCCACTGCCGCAGTTGTGGCAGCGGACCTTGGATCCAGCGCGGCAGAGCGTCTCTCCTTCTTCTCGTCGTCGACGACAGCAGAACTTGCAGCCCTGCGGCTTGCCCTCTCCGTGGCCGAGGCAGAGAGCACGCCTGGAAGTCTGGTACTGCTCAGTGACTCCAAGGCGGCGCTGACCCAGCTGGCTAACCTCGACCGAGCAACCCCGCTCGGCCGAGAAGTCGGGAACACGGCGATACTCATGCAGCGCCGAGGCTGGACCCTTGCTTTCCAGTGGCTGCCCGCCCACTGCGGCATCCGGGGAAACGAGGCTGCAGACCGCTTGGCCACCACGGCCCAGCGTGACGAGGCCTTCCCCACTTCAAGCGTGGCTGCTTTTTCCGACGCACGGCTCCTGGTTGCGCGGTCCATCCGCATGCGCCATCCCGAGCTCGAGCACGGCCCCATACCGCCCAGACTCCCGAAGAACCTGCCAAGAAAAGTCGCCGCAGTTATGCACAGACTTCGCACGAAAAGTACCTTCTCCCCGACCAACCTGGCTCGCTGGAATGGAAGTCGAGACAGCCCCTGTCCGCTCTGCCGAGAGGCAGACGCGGACGACAGCCACCTTGTACTCCGATGTCGCCCGCTCGCCCGCGAGCGCACGGAACTGCGGCGGAGATACGCCGCCCTGGGATGCACCACGGACACCTTGGAGGACGTCGTCAGACCGAGAGGACCTGCGGCAGAGACAGCGCTAAAGGCCCTGGCAAAATTCCTGGTGGAAACACGCCTGGAAAATAACTTGTAAACCACCGACGAGCACGGAGATCGCGGAGACGGCGCGCTTCGCTGCAAGGAGAGGACTGTCCGTGACCGCGCGCCTCTGCACCCCGCTGCCGACTGGTCGCTGATTGGCCAGCGCGCGGCCGGGAACGCGCGAGGCAGGAGCTGCGGCCGCCGCTATTGGCCAGACGCGGGCCTCGCTCGCCATTGGCTTAAACTGTGGGATCTTCATCGTTGGTGGTGCGCGCGCTAAAGGCAAGAGGTTCACCATCATCGAGGTCGATCCCCCAGGTTATTTAGTATCTATTTAATCTACAAATTCTGCTCTCCTGGTTTCAGCGGCCCGCTGGCCGACTAGCCCCTCCGCCGTGACGTAGAGGTGGGGAGAGGCATCGGCTCGCTTACTCTGGCATCGCGCGCCTCCCGGTTTCCGGGCGGCGCGCGGTGCGGGGGGCTACCGCCTCGGCGGGGCGGGTGGTGTCTCTCGTCGCCACCAGGAGGCGGCGTTGGCGCCGCGCCTTTGCCGCGACGCCTTCGCCGCCCCCACAAAACTACTCTCACTGACCGAGTACCCCTCTCCTCATCACGTGATGTTTTCGTCTGACTGCATCGCGCGGTGACTCACCGCCGCTTCTCCCTCCCGGACATCGCGCCGGTCGCCTGTCGTCTGGAATGCCCTAGTCGGACGCCTGGATTCTCCCCGGCGCCGCTGTCCTCCTGAACGGCTCGCTCGCTGCTGCCGCTCTGGGAAGCGACCGCCTGGCGTTCCGGACCACCGGGCGACCCTCACATCTGGATTGATACCAAACTCAAAGGTATTTCTCCTCACGATCGCGGAGACTTTATCTTTGCGATCCGCTCCCTTGTCCTTCGCGCTGACTTAGCTTCTCGCGCGGGACTCTCTGCTTGCGGGGCCTCTGCATCGCTAGCGGAGGTAACTGAATTCTCACCGCGCTGCGTTCTCCTCGCACCGCGGCCTGATTCATAGGAGCTCCGACCGTCCTGACCTAGGACGGTCGGCCGTTATGAGACGGCTCGCTTGGGCCCCTCGGTAACAAATTGCCACCGCGATTGACACTTCAATCGCGGCGCAAGACTATTGGGAACAAACTCCCTCCTGGCCACAATTTTTTTTTTTCATTCCGGCCCAACTTTATTTAATTACTTATTTATTTATTTGCCATTCTGATTCGGTCCTAATTCGGCTTAATATTAGGTTTGTACAACAGGGCTCCTGGGTGGTGCTTGGCGCTGGTGTGTTTTGTGACGGCCCATTTAAGGAAGACCTCTGAAGACTATCTCAAGAATCAAGTGGGACTCTGCCCAACTTCAACTTAGAAGAAGCGCATTTCACCGGCCGCTCTGCTCGGCCGGGGGGGCTTCTTCGTGCGGCTTGCGTGGCGCGGCGGCGCACATTGGCGGCGCGAAGCTGGCGCAACAACCCTTTCTATCTTTATCTTTTACTCCCCTTCCCCTACCCCAAAACAAAGGTGACATATTGAGCTTCCGGCTCAGCAACACTTCCTTTGATTTCCTCCTCCCAATACTCTAACTAACTGAAAATTTCAGGTTGCCCCAGTTGTTGTTTCGCCATCTTTTTGCGAGTAACAACGTCGATCTTCTCCCGAAGACAAGTCGCGCGAGGATGCCCCCCCAACCGAGCGGAAAAGCAGTGAAGAAGGCGGGCAAGGCACAGAAAAATGTGCGTGCCACCGACAAGAAGAAGAAGAGGCGCAAGAGGAAGGAGAGCTTCAGTATCTACATCTACAAGGTGCTCAAACAGGTCCATCCCGACACCGGAGTGTCCAGCAAGGCCATGTCGATCATGAACAGCTTCGTGAACGACATCTTCGAGCGCATCGCAGCAGAGTCGTCTCGGCTGGCTCACTACAACAAGCGCTCGACCATCACTAGTCGGGAGATCCAGACAGCTGTGAGGCTCCTGCTGCCGGGTGAACTGGCAAAGCATGCGGTGTCCGAGGGCACCAAGGCTGTCACCAAGTACACCAGTTCCAAGTAACACCCAGGAGCTATCTCCCTGCTGTATGTACAAACGGCCCTTTTGAGGGCCATACTCATCCCTGCAAAACGGCCGTCTCTCGATGACTTCCAACTCCCGTGTCTCTCTTTTCAAGAAATATGTGAGTACCCAGTGCTTCTGCATCGCGCATGTTTGCAAAGAGTATGTCTTTTTTCTTGTTGTGCAGTCGAACTTGGCTTCTTGTAGCCACAGTCGGATGTCGTTTATTTTGTTTCGGTGAAAAAAAAACATTGTATTTCATTGCTTTTGAGGGCACGAGTGACCTTCCTAAATATTGCACATCGCTCGCGTATGTAAAGGATATATTCGCGTGGTTTTTAGCCGTTGGGAGCCCATACTCCAAAGTGTTGTGTTTTCGAGTTGCAGCGTTTTTCTTTTTAGAGCCACGGTTGTATCAAATAACTTGCTTTTAAATTCGAGTGTTCTTATTTTAAGTTTAAAAAATGCAATGATAAACGTAGATACAGGCTTTTAATCTCGTGTGCCGCGAAAGAAAAGTGTGTACTAACAGCACAAAAAAGAGAAACTCTTTTAAGGCGAGTACTTTTATTTTTATTTTTGCCTGATCTTAGACGATCGAATCGCGGCACGAGCGCGCGCCGGACTCTACAGCTTCACATGTTTCCCTCTCTAACGCAACGAAAAATATTTTTACGCATATCGAAATATATATTTTCCGAAAGCTAATGAACTTCTCCAATAGGTGTAGAAAGCGTTTGATTTTAAACAGAGTTATTTTTGTTCATATATTGATCTAACCACTTACTTGGAAGCCAAATCTAGTTTTCGGGCGCTCTGGGTGGCTGGTCGATTTAAGTTTAAAAAAAGGTAGATAAAGACTCTTAATTTTGTGTGCCGCTAGAGAAAAGTGTGCGCTAAAAGCACAGAAAAAGAGACTTTTCTAAAGCGAGTAGTTCTTTTTATTTCTAATTTTTGCCTGATCTTAGACGATCGAATCGCGGCTCGAGCGCGCGCCGGACTCTACAGCTTCACCTGTTTCACTCTCTAACGCAACGAAAAATATTTTTACGCATATCGAAGTATATATTTTTTGAAAGCTAATAAACTTCTTCAATAGGTGTAAAAAGCATTTGAATTGAAACGGAGTTATTCTTCTTCATATTTCGATCTAACCGCTTACTTGGAAGCCGAAACTAGTTTTCGGGCGCTAAGGGCGGCTGGTCGATTTAAGCTTAAAAAAGGTAATAAAAAACGTAGCTACAGATTCTTAATTTCGTGTGCCGCTAAAAAAAGGTGTGCGCTAAGAGCACAGAAAAAGAGACTCTTCTAAAGCGAGTAGTTTTTTTTTTATTTTTAATTTTTGCCTGATCTTGGACGATCGAATTCCGGCCCGAGCGCGAAGCCGGCCCTACGGCTTCGCCTGTTTCGCTCTCTAACGCAACGAAAAATATCTTTACGCTTACCGAAGTGTATATTTTCTGAAAGCTAATGAAATTCTTCGGTAGGTGTAAAAAGCATTTGAATTTAGACGAAATTGTTTTATTACTTTACTTCATTTGCGCGATTCGCGGCAGCGGCACGAACTGGCCGCTTTCGGGTGGCAGGTTTTGCTTCTTAACAGACCGAAGGCTTGGTAAAAAGTTTTTCAGTATCAAATTTTCTGCCAGCCAAAAAGACTTTTCGTCCCGTGTAATGAGCACTTAAAACCGGACCCTTTTATATAAGTCAATATTTTGATCAAACTGTGTTCTTGGGTGACCCAACTTGCTGTCGACCCGGCTCACCATGGCGGTGAATTGCACTGCGCGCTTAAAAACGCCAGTGATAAGAAACTTTAATTTTTGTGTGCCGTGAGAAGAGTGTGTCTTGTACAAGTTCCGATGAATAGATTGCTCGAACGTTTATAAAACTCTTTTTTATTCGCATGTGAAAACGGGCCCTTGACTAGCTGCATCGGTGCGAAGCTCGGCACTCCTGAGTTGACATGTTTCTCCCATTGACTTAGCGAAAACGAATCTTAATCCCGCTAAAATATATATCTCCTGGAACCTAGAAAAAACAATGTTTTGCACATACAACTATGAAGACTCAAAATGGGCGAGGTGTATGAATGCCTTTGCTAAAGCCATGCATTTCATCAACACACGCTTGCTTCCAGTGCGCAGCCACCTGTCGGCCACAATACGAAGCTGCAGGACTGCTCCCATTCGTCGGCGGGAGAGGAGGAGGCCGTCGTGGGTTCACTTGGTCGGACCCGTAGAGCATTGCCGCCAGTCTTTGTTGAAGTAGGCGAACGGTGCGGTCGTGTTTTCCGTCCCTGTTTTTGCAGCAAACATGTCTGGAAGAGGCAAGGGCGGCAAGGGCCTGGGCAAGGGTGGTGCCAAGCGCCATCGCAAGGTTCTTCGCGATAACATCCAGGGGATCACCAAGCCTGCAATCCGTCGCCTAGCCCGCCGCGGTGGTGTCAAGCGCATTTCCGGCCTCATCTATGAAGAGACCCGCGGCGTCCTCAAGGTCTTCCTGGAGAACGTCATTCGCGATGCCGTCACCTACACCGAGCACGCCAAGAGGAAGACCGTGACGGCCATGGATGTGGTGTACGCCCTCAAGAGGCAAGGCCGTACCCTCTATGGTTTCGGTGGTTAACAGCCGTCTCGCCGTCGGACACACATCGAAAACGGCCCTTTTCAGGGCCAAACCAGTACCGATCTATCTTGGAAACGGGTTTTCATTCCAACGCCTCCCTCCCGTGTCTCTCTGTAATCGTGAAAACAAGCACTGCTTTGGGTGAGTGATTCCTCTTTTGTCATGAGTGTTGTTTTGCCGCGGGTCTCTACCATTTTGTGCGCCACAGCCGAGTGTACCAATCTTCTCAGGCAGCAGTCGAACATTCGTTGCCCTAGTACCTGCCATCGGCCATACCATGCTGAATACGCCGGTTCTCGTCCGATCACCGAAGCTAAGCAGCATCGGGCTCCGTCAGTACTTGGGAGGGTGACCACCTGGGAACACGGAGTGCTGATGGCATTTTTCTTTTTTTTTCTGCTCTCTTGGAGGGTTGTGTCCTTTTGTACCAGTTCTTATATTTTCTGAAAGCTAATGAACTTCTCTAATAGGTGTAAAAATTATTTGAATTTAAACGGAGTTATTCTTCTTCATATTTTGATCTAACCACTTACTTGGAAGGCAAAACAAGTTTTCGGGCGCTCTGGGTGGATGGTCGATTTGAGTTTAAAAAGGTAATAATAAACGCAGATGCAGATTCTTAATTTTGTGTGCCGCTAAAAAAACGTGTGCGCTAAGAGCACAGAAAAAGAGACTCTTCTGAAGCGAGTAGTTCTTTTTATCTTTAATTTTTGCCTGATCTTGGACGATCGAATCGCGGCTCGAGCGCGCGCCGGACTCTACAGCTTGACCTGTTTCACTCTCTAACGCAACGAAAAATATTTTTACGCATAGCGAAGTATATATTTTCCGAAAGCTAATGAACTTCTCTAATAGGTGTCAAAATTATTTGAATTTAAACGGAGTTATTCTTCTTCATATTTCGATCTAACCACTTACTTGGAAGGCAAAACAAGTTTTCGGGCGCTCTGGGTGGATGGTCGATTTGAGTTTAAAAAGGTAATAATAAACGCAGATGCAGATTCTTAATTTTGTGTGCCGCTCAAAAAACGTGTGCGCTAAGAGCACAGAAAAAGAGACTCTTCTGAAGCGAGTAGTTCTTTTTATCTTTAATTTTTGCCTGATCTTGGACGATCGAATCGCGGCTCGAGCGCGCGCCGGACTCTACAGCTTGACCTGTTTCACTCTCTAACGCAACGAAAAATATTTTTACGCATAGCGAAGTATATATTTTCCGAAAGCTAATGAACTTCTCTAATAGGTGTCAAAATTATTTGAATTTAAACGGAGTTATTCTTCTTCATATTTCGATCTAACCACTTACTTGGAAGGCAAAACAAGTTTTCGGGCGCTCTGGGTGGATGGTCGATTTGAGTTTAAAAAGGTAATAATAAACGCAGATGCAGATTCTTAATTTTGTGTGCCGCTCAAAAAACGTGTGCGCTAAGAGCACAGAAAAAGAGACTCTTCTGAAGCGAGTAGTTCTTTTTATCTTTAATTTTTGCCTGATCTTGGACGATCGAATCGCGGCTCGAGCGCGCGCCGGACTCTACAGCTTGACCTGTTTCACTCTCTAACGCAACGAAAAATATTTTTACGCATAGCGAAGTATATATTTTCCGAAAGCTAATGAACTTCTCTAATAGGTGTCAAAATTATTTGAATTTAAACGGAGTTATTCTTCTTCATATTTTGATCTAACCACTTACTTGGAAGGCAAAACAAGTTTTCGGGCGCTCTGGGTGGATGGTCGATTTGAGTTTAAAAAGGTAATAATAAACGCAGATGCAGATTCTTAATTTTGTGTGCCGCTCAAAAAACGTGTGCGCTAAGAGCACAGAAAAAGAGACTCTTCTGAAGCGAGTAGTTCTTTTTATCTTTAATTTTTGCCTGATCTTGGACGATCGAATCGCGGCTCGAGCGCGCGCCGGACTCTACAGCTTGACCTGTTTCACTCTCTAACGCAACGAAAAATATTGTTACGCATAGCGAAGTATATATTTTCCGAAAGCTAATGAACTTCTCTAATAGGTGTAAAAATTATTTGAATTTAAACGGAGTTATTTTTCTTCATATTTTGATCTAACCTCTTACTTGGAAGCCAAAACTAGTTTTCAAGCGGTCAGGGCGGCTGGTCGATTTAAGTTTAAAAGAGGTAGTAATAAACGTAGATACAGATTCTTAATTTCGTGTGCCGCGAAAAAAAAGGTGTGCGCTAAGAGGACAGAAAAAAAGACTGTTCTAAAGCGAGTAGTTTTTTTTTATTTTCGCCTGATCTTAGGCGATCGAATCGCGGCTCGAGCGTGAAGCGGGCCTCCACGACTTCACGAGTACCACACACAAAGATAAAATGCTGCTAACAGGGGAACAAACAATAATATAACACCAAGTATGCCTCGTGCACATTGAAAAAGAGCAGGAATCAGCTTACCGAGGCTGGAACAGAGAGGT